CTGGTATTTTTTAACATTTTGAACGCTTAAGGCGCCTTCAAATTTGATGCTTATAGAAAAGATGTAATGGCACCACAATTTTCACATAATATTTGGAAGTGCAGATCAGCGCCACTGTCGTGACACGCGCGCGCCTCTTTTGCAGTCACAATTAGTGAATTAAGTTGCACTGAAATGCTACATTAATTCATAGTCAACGGACGTTAGGTATCTACTTAAAACAACTCTTATTATGGATGTTGTAACATACGAGTACATCAGGATACAAAATAGAAGATACAAGGAAACTGTCAAGACATTTAGTCTATTTTTGTGAAAACAATTTTGGCATGGTAAATTTTTTGGTCAAGCGTGAGTTGTCTATAAAAATGAATAAAATCTATCATTTTTTTATGATCGACTCAGTATCATAAATGGATCATTTCATTGCATGAGACGATAAAAATCGGGACAACAAAAGTTGGTAAAATTTCATAAAGTATTTTTCATGTAAAATGAATAAAATTGACTAATTTTTTTATTCATTTTGTATGAAACAAATTAGCCAACTCACTTTTGACCAAAAAATTGACTATGTCAAAATTGTTTTTACAATAAAGCACTTAATGCACAAGGTGCCTAAGACAGTTTCCTTGTAACTTCTATGGTTTCGGATTTCCTCATACTGTCACATTTAAAAAACACTGTATAACCTCTTGTAATTTCTAATAAAAAAAATCTGGCCAACCGAGAGTTTACTAATATTCTGCTAACCATATAATACGTCTCTGTAGTATTATTGCACTTATACTCGTAAAAGCTACGTTGGTGATACTTTTCACGTTTTCTTCGCATGAAAAAACCGACATCCTTCTTAAGGAAGTAAGATTAGTCCAGTCATTTAGTAAATAGAAGAGAACCTCTAAGATTGGATTACTTCTCTCATTACGGGTGGGTGCACGTGCACTGTTAATCCTGTTAGCTCGTTACCTAGCCTGCTTCCGTACTGAGATCACATTTGAAACTTTACTGTTATCGATTTTGTTGTTATTCCACCTTCGTGTCTGATCAGGTACGATATTTTTCCTACAATCTGATAACGTTCAAATGGAGAATGGCCTCCCTTATGTGTAAGTCAAATCACGCGATGTTATGGTTTAAGTAACATAACTTTGTTGTTACTAGTTACAGTAACAATATCTTAAATAACAATATCTAAACACGGTAATAATATCTTATTATAAAAAATGAAACTATTGTTTCGGATCTAAATCGCGTATATTTGTTTTTAAAAAAAACCGACGTTTCGGGCCCTTTACAGGTCCCATGGTCTAAAAAACTAGTTTCACGTGAGTTTCTTTTTAACTTAGCACATTTGACTTCACAACTTTGAAAGCAGAGACGGTTTTTGCGCGCAATTCTTCGACACTCGTAATATCTTCCGCGTGAACCAACGTTTCACATCATGCCATAAGAATAGTCACGTACTTTCACTTGATGGTAATGCGGTTCTGGTGAACCTGTTAGCGGTTCATTTTTGTACTAACTCTTGTTTACATACCATACCACGTGGTATTTCGTAAGAGACTAGCTAATAAATCACTAGAATTGCGGCGAGTTCGGCCTCCTACCTCATCTTTAAGCGAGTGCGCGCATTAGGGCAGGCGCGTGTGTTGCGTTTCGGAAAGAAAGAGATAGTAATACTTTCTCGGTTCCTCCGGCAGCGCTATAAATTTAAGTGCGACAATACACGTCCGTTTTTTTCATCCGATAGTCGGATCCGATAGTCTGACCCGACTACCGGAAGGCGCTCGTACCATATAATTGTAGGAACACTCAATACGTATGACGTGGCGTCTGGGTCGGGAATAGCGTCCGATTTTATTACCGATCCGATTGTCTGAAGGCGCGCTCTCTATACTTTGGCGGGGAGACGAAATACACGTCCGATTCTTCCCTCCGATTTGCAGCGTTGCCAATGCAAATTATTCAAATTAGATTATAAATTTGGGGAGAGCAAAGGTCATATTTCCCACATAATAATTTATTCTCAGTATTTATTATATTACTGTTGTTACACTTAAAAATATATAAAATAATTAAGAAAGTCGAAATGTACCCATCTATTACATATACGTTATGCTATAATTAGAAATAATCTCAACAACTTCAATTAAGTTTACTTTTTACCTTACTAGTTAAGCTTGACGAGTGGCAAATTGTGGTATTAAGGTCTATCCACACATATCCGGGCCGTGCCCGGGACGTGGACGGGCCGTGCTCCGTCAGGGGCTCAAAAAAATATCGTTGCGTTTATTTTGTATGAACTCGTTCATACATGTCCCGTCCAGAATGACTTCTGTAAATATGGCGAAATCAACACATTATGTATATTTGCAAAATACTAACAGCCTCGCAGGGCTATATTGCTAACATCACGAACATTCATTTTTGGTCCATGACTTTTAAGAAATCATCACATTTTACGTACGTATAAAAATATTTACATAGATCGCTCTGAACGGTGATAACTCTGTCCAAAATTCGCTTGTAACGTACATTGGAACTTATTATCTTACTAAGAAGTGTCAGACAGTACAACTAAAATTTAAAGTTTATTTTAGGTACTTTATTATGTATTGCGAAAAGTTATGGAATAAAAGTTATTGTTTATGATATTAGTAATAGTATAGCTCTGCGAGTTTGTTAGTATTTTACAAATAACCCTGTATAAGTGTGTGTATATTGACGTTACGTTATTTATTATACGTTATGTAATCTACGTATTTATAATTATTATGATCTTTGCTCTTACTTCCTTGCGTTGGCTGGAAGAGATTTCTTTTAGAGATAACGTTCACCATTGCTCATCATCTGTATTATTAATATGTCTTTTGTATTAGTTCGTTGCAATGAAGAATATATACAATGAATGGTAATTGTTGTCAGGTATCTAAAGTAATGTTCTTAACTTGTAAAAAACACTTGTCTCTGTAAGTTAAGACAATTAGATACTGTAAGTACTTTACAGTTTCTACATTTAATGCGGATTACTTATATTAAATTGTCGGTATTCAGTAATACTAATGAAATTTTTATTGATGGTTCTCACACGTATTTCATTGGCCAAATTAGTCTACAATTCACATTGAAATAAAGCTCTTCAGGATTATATTATTACTAATTCTCACATTTCAGTATGTTCCTGAAATTCATCCGTTTCGCTGAATAAAGCCCATTCAAATTGTAAAGCAAGGACAGGACGGCTGCTCAACGGGGTTCCTATCCGACTTACTCGCGTCTACCCGTCTACCTCTGACAGAGCTAAATGAAAATTGGCAGCTCACTGGATCGAACAAACTTGCCTCTTACATTATTAGCCTGCTTCGCTAAAATAAGAAGGAAAAGAAAATAAAAAAGCGCGCGGGACATTTTCAAGTAAAGTAAATTTGAGTTTAAGGACACGAAGTGGTATTGACTAGGAAAACTTTTTTCGATTACTGAGTAAATTCGATGGAATGAGTCTTATATATTTTATTTTATAGCAGGTAAATGTTAAATAACGTAAGTAGGTAAGTGAAAGGCGATTTTTGTACAACTAAAGATTTGTCTCATTTGAACAATGAAAGTGCCGGCGAGATTCTCTCTAACAAAAGGAATTTTTGAATAGCTCCAGAAAATGAGAAAATGTTAACGTTCTAAATTAAATGCAGAATAGACGGTTGGATCATAAAGGCAGGAATCGTTTTACAATTTAATGAGAATGTATCATGTGTCTGTACCGCGCAAGTGAACTTGTACGTTCAAATCCTCATCAGGATAAATACAAAGTTTGTGTGTAAGCGCTTCTCGGGCTTTAGTTTGTCTAACTTGTCATTAGTCCATTACCGTGATTATTCGCGTACTTAGGGAGGACGGGTCTCTCGCCCCAAGCGGGTGTCTCGGGGTAGACGTCTCCCGAGCCTAACGGGCTTCATTAATGTTTCACGCTAGTAAGCGGCGGCATCGTTTATTCATAATTTGGGAACTGAAAAAACAATGGCGACGAGGAAACGTTCTCAGCTAATTTACTTGCGATCCGAATTCCCAACTGAATGCCAAATGAAATAAGACGACACTGTTACCATGAAATGGGTTTGTTTTCGTTATTTAATTGATGTACTGACTAAATCCAGGCTCAGATTCGTGCAATGTGAGCGCGTGTCTGCGACAGATAAAATGAATCCCTTATTTAGATGAATGTTATCAGGCATGCCTACTAAATGTTGCTAATTTGGAAAACTCAACTAAATTATGTTGAACTCAGTGAAATGTTACTATAAAATAATAATGTATTTGCATGGTTATTGGTTCTGATTCTTTAAATGCTTTAGTGACAAGTGTTAGCGTAACGAATACAAATTAGAACTTGTATCGATTGTTGTCATACCTTAAGGACGTAATCGATTCGAACATATTATTATAATTGAAAGGTTTTTCATATTAATTATATATTTTTTTTAAAGTACGTCTAAATTAATATCTGCCTGATATCATTTCTGTATTTCAGTTTAGCAGTAATAACATTTAAAAGTATCTAAATGCCTTTCTAAAAGAAGTGCCAATGAATCAAGCATCGGTCTACCAAAAGCGTTAACCAATGAAATCACAGTCTGTTAACCCACCAAAACGGTGATGGGGCGAGGGTTGATGGTATGGTCACAAAAGAAAATTTATGCAGTCTGTGTTCGAATTTCCTAGCCAGAGGTAATATTGTGAATACTGTGGGTGCCGTATATAAAGGTTGTTAATTTATACAGGTATGTACAAACTGTCTTCCTTTATTATGCAATTTAGTAACGAACTATCATGTATATTACTTGCTTAAAAGGAAATAAATGATTGAAAGTTAATTTTCGTGCCTTAAATGCGGTGGCATTTGAGGCACTTACTTACCCAAGTCTTTACTTGAGAACTTGCTAACACAAGTAAAGGTGGCAGTTACTCTACATACTTTTCCTGTCTCTTGTTTCTTTACTAACCTGATCAAGCTTGAGCAGTTCCTCCGGAGTATCAGGCAACTGGCCCAGCATTAGTGGAGGGTTGATATTGACTTCTTTTCCCAGAGAGCGGACAACTTCTTCGCGGTTGTACCGGTCGGCAAACACGCATGATGCAGGAATCAATCCATGGACTGTGTAGCTTATTGCCCTGACCAGAATTCTGAAAAGAAACATTTAAAATTGTAGTTTTGCACGGTATATTATGACGGACATAAAAAAGCGGTAATACTGCGAATTCTGGTAGTTTAGTACTGCCAGAATTCACATGAGAAAAAAGAGGTTTCAAAGATTTAGTTTTTATTATTAGAAAAAACAAAGATATACCGTTGTAGGTATAGATAATGAGGTTCTGTATAGAAAACTAATTTTCTTGTTGTTTGAAATAACTGAACTGTATTTAAATACGAGCAGACAAAACTGAAATAGCTCCACAAATTCTATTAAGACTTATGTCATTGTAAACCAGACAAGTCGCAAAATAGATGTGTGTGTTTCAAAGCTTACAACGTTCATATTTCAATATGGCATTTGCTGTGTACACGTAAATTGAATGAAATATTCAGATGAGTGCCTGGCGTTGTGTACGATTTGCGTTTTATTTAGTCTGCTTGTGTGGTGAAAATTGTGGGTAAAGAACATTTATAATATCGCCAAATTTAAAAGAAGGTTGCACGTAATTAGCACGCACATATAACATAACTTTTGATTTTTTTTATTTATTTGGGTCAATAAATAGTAGACACAATTAAAATTTATAACTATTTTTCATATAGTAAATATGTGATGATTGTGTCACCAACACCGTTAATCACTAATTACTTCAAAAAAATTGACAAGTGACGATGCATTTCAATAATAAAGAAGTAAATAATATAAAAAAAGTTATATACAATTAAATTCAAATCAGTAAAACGTTTGATATAACAAGAAAAAAGATTACTGCATACGTACATATGCGTTATACACTTATCAAGTAAAATTGAATGACACAAGGTATTCTAAAAGCAGGAAATAAAAATAGAAATAACAATTGAATAGAAAATAGCTTCACACATCCTTAAGTAAGTCCTAAAATTAACTTTTTAAACACCAATACCCGCGTAGATAAAATATCTATAGAGTTGAAGTGGGTATTGTAATTTTTCATCACTCGATATAGCGGCAAACGTATTCCAGCGTTTGTAGAACTTACAGCGCTAGCAAATAGTGGACATGCTTTGCGAATGTTGTGATAGTATACGTTCTAAGTTCTAACAGGGACTCTATAACGTAGTTTGTGGTGAAGTGGTATACAGTCATATCTATCATGGCACAAGTAGTAACATGGTTTCCAACTGTGAATTAATTTTAGTGGCAGATCATATTTTTTAAATAAATTTTCATATGAAAGTTTTACACGAAAGCACTTATAGTGAAATTATACTTGTACATTTCGTTGAAATTTCTTTTGCGCCGATTTGAGGGCTTCATTACACTTTTTGTATATGAGGAGACCAGGGAAAGAACGATCAAAGTCACTTAAAAATACGTTTTGAGCTAATACCGCCATCTAATTCGTTAAACGCTCAACGTATTTTGCCCAAATCAAGAAAAATTAACTTATTCGTTTTTGGCATAAATTGCTCGAGACTAAATGGTTAAAAAGTACATAATTTATGAAGGTTTTTTAGGTATAATGGATTAAATTGGGTTACACATTATGTCAACATTGACTTTATTTCAGGTAGCATTTTTGCATGTGTTTTACACCAACATTGAACAGTTTTCCAAATTAATAATATTTTTTCCTAAAGTTCTCCTCAAGTGACTTTGATCATTCTTTTCCCAGGGAAGAGTCCAGACTCTTCATATAGGATTCCAAATAGGAACAACATACTCAAGCTGAGAGCGAATTATGGACTTAAAGATGTGGAGAAAAGTAGATGGCCGCGTAAACCTATTTATTACAGGAACACATGGCGAAACCGTGCATTTTGTAGGTCCTGTTGATCATATTGTGTACATGCTTGTCAATTTGAAGTTTTTTGTCCAGTGTTACCCTTAGATCTCTAATGGTATCAAGACGTCAAGAGATTATAGATAATATTTATTGTTTTTAGTAAAAGTAATCGATTTACATTGGTTTAAACAGAGATTCAGCTTATTATTGTCACAGTAGATCGAAAATCTATATAAATCTTTTTGAAGTATACGATGATCTTCTATATTTTCTATAGTGTGATAAACTTTCAGACTGTCGGCGTATAAAAGAAAATGCCTAAATTTGAAACACAAATTGACATCGTTTATAAACAAGATAAATAACAAGGGACCCACTACCGAGCCCTGTGGTATCCCAGAAATCGCCGGAACGAGATCAAACTCAAACCCTTTGATAACCACCTTTTGTGTAAGGTTTTATATGTAGGATTTAAACCAGTGCAATAGATTACCCTGAATATCGTTGAAAGCGAGTTTCGAGAGAAGAATTTTGTGGTCCACTCTGTCAAAAGCTTTCCAAAAGTCAGTACAAATACTGTCTATTTGTTTATTTTCATCTAACCCTTCAAATATATAAGTTGTTTATGACAGTAAATTGCTAGCAGTAGAGCGTTTTCTTACAAAACCATGTTGTGGTTCAATAACAAAGTTATGCAAGGACGGATATTCTATTATCTAATCTCTCAAATTGCTTTGACAGAGTAGGTAATACGGTTATGAGCCGGTAGTTCTCCACATCGGTTTTGGATCCGCCTTTATGCTCTGGTACTACTGGTACACGGGCAGACTTCCAGATTATTGGAATTTTTTCTTCTTGTTAACATCTGTTAAAAAGGTAATGCAAAGGTTGACAAATTGATAATGCTGTGGATCTAAAAAATAGCGAAGGAATTCCATCCAATCCAGGTCCATTTGTAGTATCAAGTGTTTGAACTTCTTTAAGTACAGTCTTGTAAGGTATTTGTGTACTGCTAATTATTAAACCAGATTTAGCATCCGGAATATTATCCATATCACACTCAAGGGTTCAAATACCGATTGGAAAAATGCTGAAAATAGACTGCAGACGTTCATAAGAGCTTTTGCCACCCTATTTTTAAGTAAAACCCAGTTCGGTATGTCTACATTATTACTTCTATTATTAATGCATGTCCGAAAATATTTAACATTATCATGTATACTTCAACCTTATTTGTATATCTCCTGTAACACAAATTATATTCAGATTTAGTAGCAATAGAGCTCCTTATATATTATAAAAAAAGATTTAAATCTCTTCCTATTAATACTAAATAATCGGATTTAAGATAATATGTATGTGTGTGTATAACAATTTTTTTATAATTATAATTATACATAAAAAAATCATTCTTATTCTTATGATATCAAAGATCGAAAATACACTTAGAAAAATTCCTTCGATCTGACTGGACTGGAATCAGCGTTTGTTGCCTCACCGTGGCCACCGTTTTGTTAGATCTTTGTATCAATACTAATAACAAATTAGTAGAGCATTTTCATGACAAAGTTATAATTAATATCATAGGAACAAAACATTATGATATTCAATAAAATAAACATTAAAAAAGTATTCTTCTCTGATCAGTATGAAGTTGTGATGAGTGGTTTTAATCGATATGAAGATTTGAAGTGTAATTTGATTACATCTGCTATGTCTGAATTGGGTATTACATTTGTTATTTCAATCTTCATTGACTCCATATATCCCACAGACCACATGAAGTATATCCAATGAAATTGATCTCATCTTCCCCGTAAAAACTTACGGAATATATCTCTAAACATTGCACGAAAACAAATACACACAGTAGGCAGTTATAAGAGCAGTTTGAACAAAACGAAAATGAAAAACGTAAGGATTAAATTTACCTTGAAACAAAGAGCTGTTATACTTTTCATTTAAAAAAGGGCCAGAAAGGGTACCGTCAACAAACAGTGGAACGCTGACCCCTCACATTGACGTTATCTGATTCGGGGGTGCAAACCAAAGTTAATATTGAGGTTTTGTGAACTGCGCCTTATTTCCCTGGATTTAAGAGGCATTATAATGGCTTACCCACAAATGGAGAGTATTTAATTTCATTTCATTTTACGTTTTGTTTTTATGCTGTTTTCCAAATAATAACTTTCAATTTAAATATTCTTTTCCACGATTTTGATAATGCATGCTCTTTTTTATAATTGTTATCCTTACGATTGCGTAATGTGCTTATTATTGAATAAGGTGGATTAATCTGACTTTAATTAGCAGGTGTATCTGTATTACATACAGGCTTAGAATAATAACGCATAGAATGATAGTTTCATAAAAAACGAACTGTCACAAGTGAGGCAAAAATCAAATTCATGTAGGCGTAAGCAACTTGTATTTACGCTCGTCGGCACGCACACAAGTATACAAATAATGATGCCATAGAATAACATTTCCCTCAAAAGTGGGGAAATTGTATCTTGCTTAACTCATCGTTAAGTTAATGGTGCCTACAGATTTGCTCGATTTTGTCGATCGTTACTGTCGATCAGGTGCCTACAGATATGCTCGATTTTGTCGATCGTTACTGTTGATCGACAACGTCAAGTGACAGGAATTTTCAAAAATTTATTTTTGGTAATCCTTATGGAAATGGCATTTATATCTGAATACACGAAGGCGGACACGACTTTTCTCATTTCTAAATCCAAGATGGCGGACACGTCTTTTCAAATAAATGCAATATGGGAATCGTTTTCGAGGTATTCGAGGTGCTCATCACGAATATGGCATTTATTTCTAAATCCAAAATGGCGGACACGACTTTTGAAATAAATGCAATATGGGTATCATTTTCGAGGTATTTGGGGGTGCTCATTACGAATATGGCACTCATTTCTAAATCCAAGATGGCGGGCACGATTTTCATATAATGGCAAGTTGGGGATCGTTTTCGAGGTATTTGGGGGTGCTCATTAGGAATATAGCACTTATTTCTAAATCCAAGGTGGCGGACATGACTTTTCAAATAATAGCAAGTTGGGTGTCGTTTTCGAGGTATTTGGGGGTGCTCATTAAGAACATGGCACTAATTTCTAAATCCAAGATGGCGGGCACGATTTTTCGAATAATGGCAAGTTGGGTGTCGTTTTCAAGGTATTAGGGGCTGCTCATTCCGAATATAGCAC